GTACGTCTCTCTCTCTCTCTCTCTCTCTCACACACAACAACACACACACACACACACACACACACACACACACACACACACACACACACACACGGAGTCCTTTTCCTTCCATGCCTTGTTTCTTATCTTTCCTATCTCTCGCCTTTTGTCTTGTCTAATAAGGGTCTGGCTTAGCTGACCAAGACTGTATATTTTGCAACACTGCTGTAAGCCTGTGACCAGAATGGCAAATACAAGCAGTGCCCTAAATGACTCGATGCTGGTACGAGTTTGCCAGGTCTCAGAGTGGCTAATAAGACCGTGTACCCTACCTGTATATCTCCAGCAGCGAAGCTGCAACTAAAGTTAATACCAGAGATGGAAGCTGCATTTTCTGTCTTTGCTGTTCTTTTCTCCCCCCTCTTGCGTATATTTGCCTTGTTTTGCCTTCTAGGATACAGGATTAAACTTTAACAACAGTTCCAGCTTCTCTCAACTAACTTCAGCTCTTTTCCCCAAAAAGGCCAGTTATTGCCATATTTAATGCAATCTAAAAGACTGTCAAACAGGGGATATTCCTTCTAAAGACTCTACAGCTAAAAGGAAAGGGAACCAGGGATGTTGTTAAAATGAAAACCTCATTTAATACTTTACATTTTAAATGTTTTAACAGTTTTTCCTTTTTTCCTCTATCTTTAATAAAAGGTAAAATGGATTTTTAATGGTGTGTTTGCCTTGGTACTAAGCAGGCTGCGGTCTCTGTTTACCAAACCGCAAATGTTGGACAGTGACTGTGTCATATTAACACCTTTGACTCTTTGGGGCCATACATTCCATCTAAATTAATACAACAGACCAAGCCCACAAAGCACAAAGCTATATGTATTCCTGCAACATCTCCCACATCTTCCTTCCCCATCCTGTTATTTAACACTGACCTATTTACATAGCCAATTTCAAATACCACTGGCAGGACTCTATGCAGCACTGAGGGCTCTATCTGAACAAAAAAGTACATTTATCTTTTCAATAGTTTTATTCATTGAATTAGAAAATAGTATCAAAAGTCAAACACTCAATAAATTTGTTACCTGTATATTTAATTATGTGTATTTAATTATGCTGAATGCCCATCATTTGCTGATACAGATTAACATGGCTACCACACTGAAACCTCTCATCATTACGCTAGTATAAGTTTAGTGTCAGGGAGCCTACAACTTTTTAAATGGGTGGGTTTTATTTCAATTGCAATTTAAAGACATAAAATAAATACAAAAATATAAAAATGTAAGGAATAGTGGGGAAACAATTAGACACCCTCTCCCTCCAGTAATGCTGAAAACCAGATCCAAATGTCAGAGGGGTAGCCGTGTTAGTCTGAATCTGTAAAAAGCAACAGAGGGTCCTGTGGCACCTTTGAGACTAACAGAAGTACTGGGAGCATAAGCTTTCGTGGGTAAGAACCTCACTTCTTCAGATGCAAGTAATGGAAATCTCCAGAGGCAGGTATATATCAGTGTGGAGA